TTTTTTTGCGGCGGTGCCAAACACGCATGTTTGAATTGGAACTGGTCGTGCCTCCCTGCTGAAGGGCATCTCACAAAGATGCATCCCTGGCAGGAGGGCAGAGCAGACAGCCAACACCGAAATGGGACCAGCGATCCGGTAAGGGCGTCCCCGAAAGTTGTGCCGCTCGCTGATGGGGGCCTACGGGAAACTTCAGAAGCCCTCAGGCCACGACAGGGTAAGTCAGCTGTCGGAGGGGCATGCCGCAAATAAACGAATTTTGGAGGGGCATTTTGAAAATTTTCCCTTGTTTTTAACCACTAGTACCTTTGCCGCTTCAGAAATGAGGGAAAATGTTAGTCCCAGAAGAATTCAAAGGCCTGGCGACGGCTTCCATTGATAAATCTAACCGGTTGTCCAGTTGATATAGCTCAGTGGTTAGAGCACCGGTTGGAAATGCGCATTGTGGTATGAGGTTGTGGGTTCAAAACTCCGCAGCCTTGCGGATGGACACCGGCAGGGCGTTAGAATGACGCACGGCTGGACACACTCCCCTGGGCTGACGCAGGTAAGCTATTACAGACACTGCTTGCGCACCAGGGGCAAGTCCATGGTTGTTGTATGTTGGGTTTGAGCTGTGGGATGTTTGCCTGATGCTCTTGGTTCTAGTGGTTCTTTGCGGGCTTGCATACTTGAGGATGATTGTTCATTTGCCTTCCAGTCCGATACTGCGTACAAATCGTTCAGTTTCCACAGTAGCTCAGTAAGTTCGATAGAAGATTGTATGGATGAGGTCGTGTGTTCAAAACTCGCGACCTAGTGGAAGGCAGGACCAAGAGACCTACACACCGCCCATAAGCTCAGGAACGGTTGATGAGAGTGACACTTAGTACAGACTGTGGTCAGTGTTGGTAGGTTTCTTGGGGCAAGATTAGAGTAGGGGGACCCGTTGCTAGCAGGAGATCTGGGGGGGTCAGCCACTAGGCACAGGAGGGGTTAGGATGAGGGCTCCCCTTAGGACACTGTCAGCTCGCCCGTGGAATAGGAATGGTTGATGAGAGTGAGACTTAGTACAATCCACGGTCGATGTCTGTCTGAACTAGGACCCTACAGACCGCCCATGGAACGAGGAACAGTTGATGAGAGTGAGACTTAGTACAGTCTATGGCCAGTGCTAGTAGGGCTCTTGTGTCGGTGGGGCTCTCCACAGGATTGGTTGGGTTGCCTGCCTCCTATGTTTGGTTCACTATCAACAAACATGTAGTAATGACAACAGTGTGCACAGCGAACAACCTAACAACAAACAACAGTAACAACAGCTGTGTACACAACGATAGGAACCCAAAATAGGTCCACCTATGGGACTTGTAGTGAAACGTTTGTACCGAGCACCTGAAGTACCTGGGCGACAAGGCTCGCACAAATATGCTTCGATCAGGGCTGAGTGGGGTGTGTGGGACTCAGCTTAGCCCTGGCACCTACAACCACGGTTCGGTCAGATCACCCCCAGGCTGGGTGATGATCCTGAGTGGTAGACACTGAGGTGTAATGACGCGCCATAACACAGACTGAGAACACTGCTGATTTCTGAAGTTCTGCCGATGGAATGGATGCCTTGCTGAGATTACCGCATTCTGCTGAGTTTTCTAAGTCTGTATGTGTGCGTGCTTGTTGACCAGCGTGCCTGTCCGAGTGCGTGTCGGTATGTGTGTGTGTGTGTGTGACCCACAAGGGTACCTGCTTGTTTGGCAAGCCCGTAGGGCCGGTACTTACCTGTGGCCATGGCATTGAGGGTTGCAGCACGGGAAAACACTCAAGTGGCGGAGCCAGAGGCCCGCGGCACTTGGAGCAGCGGAAAAACACTCAAGTAGCAGGTAGGCCGGTACCACACCCAGTAGCAGTAGATGGTCCGGGTACTCGAGGCTGAGCAGAAGAAGACAAAGTTGGCATTTTTAGAGGCCCACTAGCGGTAGGTTAGGTCTAGGCCGGTACCAGTCCATCCAGTCTGAGTCTAGAGCCTGACGGGCAATATCAGAGTCTGCAATGATGTTTCCCTCCGGAAGGGAGGAGGTACCGGTTGCTTGGGAGGTCGAGCGGCCTGGAAGTCACTGCCCAGGAGGCAAGTAGGCCGCTATATCAACAGGCCGAGGGAAGAGCCCGGCCTCGTTCTTCAGTATGCAAGTTTGGCAACACGCTGCTGGAGCGCTGGCTAGAGTAGCGCTGCGCTGGGTACTACAGCGCTGCTGGGAGGGCCCCCGTTGGGGTAGTGCCGCACCAAGGAAGCTCGGGGCAGAGGCAGGCATGGCGGCCTAGTGAGCAGCGGCATAGCTGCTTTGCGTTGTCCTTTGCACAGGGAGGCAGCGACATAGCTGCTTTGGGTTGTCCTTTGGACAGGAGGGTTGAGCCCTCAGTAGTCCGCCATAGACTCGGCCTACATGTGAGAGGAAGGAGAAGGGTGGACATGGCTATGGTGGACCTCTTGTTGTGCCTGCAGTAAAAGTGGGATTCGGACATTGATTCTGGTTCAGCCATTCAACATTATTATTGTTATTTCTTGTTTGAATAAGAGGGGAGGNTGTTGTGCCTGCAGTAAAAGTGGGATTCGGACATTGATTCTGGTTCAGCCATTCAACATTATTATTGTTATTTCTTGTTTGAATAAGAGGGGAGGAGATAAGGAGGAGGAGATTGGTTGGTGAAGAAGAAGAGCCTTGTCATTGGTCTATGCTGGAGTACATCATCTTCTTCTTCTTTCTTGCTTCTTCTTCTTCTTCTTCTTCTTTCCCTCTCTCTCCTCTCAAGTTCATTCATTTCTTTTTGCAATTGGACGGCATTGTACTTTCTGATGTATGTATACTTCAAAATTGTCTGCTTTTGCATATGTCACGTATTATTTTTTTGTTTTTGTTTTTTAAAAGGGTGACGGCCTTGACATATTATCATTGAGCTGACCCGCCCCAAGCAATTCATTAGTAGTTGGTTTACTCGTCAAGTTCCATCATCTGTATTCGAACACAGGTCTGTACTTCAACAGTTCATGGGTGTACCCACTGAGCTAGGCTTTGGGTATGTCACATATTATTGCTACACAACTGTTGTAAGGCGGGATTACAGACATATGAGAGTCACCTCCTAAGACTAAACCACTATGTCCTACCCAGCCAATGTGGCTGAATGGTACACCCATCCATGCAAAGACCGTAGTTCTAATCCTGATGGAATCACATGAATAAAATAAGTTAAAATAACTCTGAATAACTCGGAATCACCTGGGGCGAGGTCCCACCAGCAAAAAGGATTGAATTGAACGACTTAAGCTGGGCATGTATGTGGAAAGGTGCAGAAAATCGAGATTGAGCTGCTTTTCTGTATCTCGGCATAAAACACGCCCAGATTCAGGAGGTTTATCCTATCCCCTTTGCTAGTGGGACCTCTCTCCTGGGCCCTATCAGTTTGATGATGATACCTCAAGGCCATCCCCCTTCTGAAATAACAATTAGAACTTACAAAAGAAAAAACATTGTCCTGAACTGAGTGCATTTTCTGGGTTTTTTTTTTTTTGGCTTCTTTTTCAGAAAGGGGATGGCACCTAACCTTATTAATTTTTTTTTATACAGCCCCTCGTTTGTTGTCCTCTTCTCCCTCTCTTCCTACGGTTTACTGGGCGGCTCTGTTTGACACGAGAGAGAGAGAGAGAGAGAGAGAGAGAGAGAGAGAGAGAGAGAGAGAGAGAGAGAGAGAGAGAGAGAGAGACATCATTGGTCTGCTTCTGCAAGGATTTGAATTTTGAACTCATGGTCTGTTCATCAACAGTTATATGTGTACCATTAAGCACACACCTGTGAAGAGTGCTATTACCACCTTCAGAAGTGATAGCTGTTTCTTTGGGAATGTGTCGTCTTCTTTTTCTTTTCTTTTTTTTTGTTGTTGGGGGCGGGGGGGGGGGGGGAGGGGGGGTAATGTGTCTTGTCTAAAACTAGAAGAAGAAACAAAAAAATCCACATGGCTGGGTTAGCCTGGGTACGAACTGAGTGTCTATTTCTGTTCCCTTCTGTGTTTTCGTGTGTGAAGGTCCTACTGATAGTTATCGGTGTGTGTGAAACTACTCACAGCCATCACCAAAGCGACCTGCATACCGTCGTATGTTCTTGACTGAATGTGACAAGTCCAAGGATTGCAACCATCGTATCACTTCTCTATTCAGCCGGTCCTTCCGGTTCCATGTCACGCCCAGTTCGGCTGTACTCCATCTCCTCGGATAATGAATATGAACCATCCTGCTCTTCTTTCAAAGCTTGACGGCTATGTCAACCTTATGTTTTTTGCCACCAATCAATTACAAGATGCTCTAGTTCACAAATCCTGGGCATGAAAACACACACACACACACACACACACACACACACACACACACACACACACACACAAAACACACACACAAAACACCAACACAACAACGCACACACACACACACAACACACACACACAATAGACACACATATATATAGACACACATCCCCTGGCTGAGTAGGTGTGTAGAGTGGGCTTTATGACTGTGACAGGCTAGTTTCTCAGATTTACTGCCATTCTTGTCAGGAGTTTGGACCAACAGCCTGGTAGGATTGCATTGCGGGGTTGGTTTGAGAAAGTGGACCACTTTTCTCTCTCAAGGGTGTTGCGAACTCTGGGTGACGTGGTGAGTCCTCTTATCCATCCGTCAAATGCATCCTGAGCAGACTGTCGGGGCTCAACCTTCTTGATGAGTCAGTGAAAGTCCAACCGAACAGTCTGGCACAGTCCTGCCTTTTTTTGTGGAGTTGTGTATAGCAAACATGACACTGTACACACACAGAGGAAACAGTCTGGCAATGCATCATCGGGAAGCAGGCCATTGAGAGGAGTGGAACAGTGGAGCATTTGTACCTGGTTGTGTCAGCAGGTTGCTCACAGGGATAATTGGTCAACACAGCCCACACGAAAACCTTTTTGCTTCATCGCACCCAAACTTTTGTCCGTTTGGTTGAGAAGGCCCAAGGGCATTGCAGGCCGCCCAATTTTTAAAATGCAGTCCCACCCACTATGCCTCTTTCTACAGGATTATGAACCTGGCGCTGTATTTGCACCAGATTCATTTTTCGATAGGCCCTTTTCGCCAAACTGGCAAAGAAAAAGATTTTTGTGTGGGCTGTATCTACCAATTATTATCCCCTGTTCATAGAAGGGAAATAGACACCACTGCATTTCCACACACAGCTAACGTATAGACCGCCTAATGGGTTTTCACATGTTCAGTCATGTCAATATGGGACGGTGGACCCGGTTTCGAGCAGTTAGCAGGGCTCTCCATTCCCACTACCAATCCCTGTCAGTGCCTAGTTGGTTCCAAATCCGGACCCAACCACGCCACATCAGGATTGAAGTTGCGCACTAAAGGAAAAGGTGTTCTATTGTCTCGTTAGCCTTTCGAGAGGGAAAGCCCTCCTTGCACGCCAGGCACCAGAGGCGAGCCAGCCCTTTCTGCTCTCGGTGGGTATGGTCAATGAGTCATGCATTTGTGGGTAAGCAGTGGTGGGCGATCTGCCATTGGAGCGAGGCAGTCTCGGCCGCTTTACATTTTCTTTAAACCATTATAGGTCTCAAGACTTCTAGTGGAACATTTAAGTGTCTTGCCCAACGGTCCACTGTATGGTCCCTCAAGTTTAGTCGAGTCCTGAGCATCCGATAGGTTGCCTTAACGCCCAGTGTGTGGAGGTAACAGTATTTTGGTATGTCGTTCCTCATTAGAATCTTCCATCTCCACTCAGCTGCATCCATCAGGAGGTCTTGGATTGGCACCTCCAGCATAAATGCCACCCAGAAGTCCCCTTCTCATAGGACCCCCACCCAGTGGACTATTTCAACATCAATCCAGTAGACTACATCCGGCACTCCCCTGATCAACCGGTTCAGTTGTGTTCGATAAAAAAAGTTTACCAGCACCTCCCCTGATCTGACTATGAGTACTTCCCCCACCCAGGTTGCATCCACTCTTAACACCACCCAATCACCTTTCTCTATTGTTGGCCCCTGTCGAAGAGTCCACGGCCATGCGAAAGGGAGGGTGAAGAGGATCTGGTCAGGCCTCTTCCCTATTCTTAGGCAGTGGGGGAGCTTTGCTCTCAGCAGCTCCTCTGAGACCCAATGATTTCTGGTTTGGTCCCACACATCCCCAACCCACGTGACCCGGTTCATTACCCATCCATTCCACGGACGATGCAAACTGAGAAAAACCCGCCCCTCGTGATATGTTACCCATCAGTTCCCAAACAGGGGTTGGCGAGCAACTTCCTCCCACCGTTCGAGGAATGGCCTATCCGAGAGCGGGAGCCACCAATCTTTAATTAAATTGGTCCAAAAATTATTTTTTTGCAAGTCTATGCGGGCTGCGGCACGATCTGAGTGTGGTTCGGGCCGAGTGGGGGGCCTGGGGATTGCCCAGAAAACATCGTCTAACCAAGCAATAGGGTGCGCAGTTGGTGCGGTCTCTGGTGCCAATCTCGACAGTTGTTCCTAGGCTAGGTGCTCTCAGAGTCTCGGGTAAGTTTGAGGGTGCAAATAAGCCGCTTCAACCATTGGAGTGAACAAGTGGTCGTTTCTGGGCTGAGTATGCCTCGGCCACCTTGTGCCCTTGGCTGCACCATTGCATCCCAAGCTACCCGACTGATAGTATGTTGGGCTTCGTGGTTGTGCCTCCATAGAAAGGTTTCCACCTGCTGTTTTAGAGTCTTTGAAGCCGCTATGGTCAAAGGTCAAATTGCCGATTTACACCAGAGCGCCCCCAAAACCACATTGTTTATGAGGACATTGAGGAGGGCCCTACCCAACGGGGATGTGCATTTGTCCTTCCAAGTTCCCAACTTTTGTAGGGTTGGGCACGTTATCCAATTGTCGTTACTAACAGGCTTTCCCTCGGTCAAAAGTTCGATTCCCAGGACTCTAATGGGGGTTTCCAAGGGGAGTCAAGTCACATTTGGGCGCTCTGGGGGTCTTTCACCGTCGTGGTGCATCCACCATCCCAATGTCTTGTTGCCCCAGTTAATTGCCATATCAGAGAGGGTGCAAAATCAGCCTTTCAATTTCCTCTATATTTTGTATTGAGGCCTCTACCATCAGAGTGAGGTCATGTGCAAACAATAAGCACACTTGCATTTCCTCCAGTGGGATGGAGGTCGTCCGGATTCTACTGATATTCTAATTGGCTTTAAGGTTGGCCGTCAGGATCTCCATCACTACCATGAAAAAATATGCTGCGATTGGGTCCCCTTGGCGAGCCGATCGCTGTAGAGGGAAGTTATGTGCAAGACTCTCGTTTACCTGCACACCAATGGTAACATTTTGGTGAAGTATCTGCACCCATGTCCTAAAGGTTCCTCCAAAGTTCATTTTCTCTAGGCATTTATCCAAGAAACGTCAATCTGTGTGGTCATACGTCTTTTCAAAGTCAATAAAAATGAAGGCGGCATCGCACATGAACTGTCGGGATAGCCTCAATAGCTCATTTACTAGGAGGATGTTATCATGGATGTGCCGCCCCTTAAGGAACTTGAAGCCGATTTGTGAGGGGTGGATGATTTGCTTCAATGTCAGTGCAATGCAGCTTGCTAATGCTTTGAATAACATTTTTTACACTACGGTTAACAACGTAATCGGGCGATAGTTGCGGATGTTCATTTTGTCTCCTTTTTTTGTACAACAGTGTGAAAACCCCTTAGCCCACTGCTTCCCCCATCACCCTATGGTAAAATGTCGTCAAGTCCTCTGCAATCAAGGTCCAAAAAACCTCCAAAAATTCCTTTGGGAACCCATCCACTCCCAGGGTCTTCTATTTCCTCATTTGCATAAGAGCAGTCCATATCTCTTCCCTGGTGAGCGGGTGGTCTAGAGCCTCGTGACCCTGTTGGGGGAGCAAATGGGTTAGGGGGGTGAGAAAATCTTCACTCTCTCCATCACTTGTAGAAGTATTAATGTCTTCAGTACGTGAAGTAAAAAGGGCTTTGTATAAGTTTTTTGTCACCTTAATACACTGTAGTGAGGAGGTGGTCAACGGCGGTCCAAAAATGCCTCAATGGTCTGCCTCTTTCCCCTGACCCTTGCTAGGCCAAAGAAGTCGGAGTCCATGACTCCTTTCATAATATGGAGTTCATGGCTCCTTCCGTAATATGTTTTGAGAATTTGCCTCTAATCCTTATGTCATGTCATCGGCAGGTTGCAAAATCCAATAATTTATTTTGTAGGTTTTGGAGTCGAGGGGTAGGGTTCTATTGTTGTAGGTCATGAATTTGATATTGAATCTCCATTTCCTCTTGGTAATATTTTTTTGCCAATTTCTTATAAAATTCTTTGTTTTTGCGCCCCAGGAAAAAGAGGCCATTATTGAACCATGTGACTCCAAAATCAAAATGTATTTTTTGTTGGTGTCAGTAGGCCCATACATTGTGAATCAGATGTACAAAGTCTTGTCCGTGTAGAAGAGAGGTACTGAGTTTGAAGAAACTTGGACCGTGGTCCGGTCTCTAACGGAAGGTGAGGATGACTCCACACGAGGCATGGTTGAACCCTATGAAGGAACTACGAGGGAGCAGGTAGGCAAACTGCATTGCGCCTGCTAGGTCCTCAAACATAAGGATCAGTTCAATTATAGACCTGAAACGAGTTTCTGCTCCCGTAGTGCGAGAACAACAGTACCTTCTTTCCATAAGGAAGACTCTCCTGAAAGAGTCGAAAAGGTGAAGCGTGGAGTTTAGTTCCTCAATAATCCTTTCATCAGCTTATATGTACGGGGGGCAAGGGGTGGGGATCCTCCACCTATCTAGCGTACGGTCAGGGGCGGCATTAAACCCCCAGTACTTGACCCATCTATTAAAGTCGAGCCTGAATATGCCCTGCACGCCGCTTTTTGTCGAGCCTGCAGGGGGCGGGAACCAACATGGGACATTTGATGCTTGGCACGGGTACCGCCCTTGTTCTGGACCTGCTGCCAGCAGTTGGAATGTAAAGAGGCGATAGTTTTCTTGTAATGGTCTGGGCAGAAGTGCAGCCAGATCCGTCTGGAAAGACCTCGTTGAATGTTCCCCGACTCTTGCGGGGAGCAGAAGCACAAACAGTTGAGAATCTTCAAAAGGAAAAAAGAAACAAAAAAACAAAAAAAATGGAACAAAGGGGAAAAGAGGTACCAAGCTCTATAACGTGATTGCCCTCAGATACATTTGTTGCTGCAGCGAAATGAAGCCAGATGCAT